ATACAGCTTTAACGAAAAAATCCAATAAATTATTCCTATCATCTTTACGATTCTGTATTTGTTAAAAATGGATGCTGCCAGGCTCTTGAGTTAGAGCACCAATGTAATAAAGACCAGTGGCGTATTTCATAGCGACCTCAATTTGTGGAAGCAAGACGAAGGTGCGTGGGGTGCAAAGGCAATTCTGAGTTCTCTTATTCTCTGTGAGGTTTTGCGTTTATCCCAAGCGTCAGGGGTGCATTTTTCCAACCACGCTTCGTTTACTGTAGACCTCATTTAAGCTCGCAGGTTCAAATTGGAAAGATAACTTCTCAATCGCACTGTGGATTCTCAGCTGTGACTTCAGGAGTTCTCAGAAATCAACACATGTCGCTTAAAGCAGTTTCGTCGTTTGAACATCTCCCTCATCTTGGAAGCCGCGTAATCCATCGTGTCCAATTTTAAACTCTGGAGTTGACTTGACATTGAGAGCACTAGCTCCTTAATCTACTTCCATTCTGTCTACTTTGCACTCGTTTTCCCCGGATTTTCTTCACCAAATCTGCAGCCGATTGAAGAGACTGAACGAAAACCTGATTTCCCACAGAATCCTACATGTAACTACGCCCTTTGAGCTGCAGACCTTGCGACTCTCTGAATGAATGAGCAGTCCAATAGCCCTCTCGTAATGATGCACTCACTTATCGTTGAAACTCTTCTCAACCTTACAATACGTGGTAAACAGCACTTTTCCTCAAATGGCTCAGTTTTAATTCAATGGGAACTGACAGTTTCCAACGTGCAAGCCTTATGCTGGTAGTGGCACGTGTACTAACTGGCTAGCGCTATCGTCCGTCAGTGTTCTATATATAAAAAAAGAAAAAAAAAAGCTTGCCAAAAGTCCTGCTTTACAATTCACATTAAGCACAGTAAGGAAGCTCCGACGAATTTCAGATCTGATATTGGCTTAACACTGGTTTTGCTAACTACGCATGGTTCTGTGATCCAGCCTACATCCTACGTCATGGACCGCAACCTAGCGTTAAATTTTCTGACAACAACCTTAAACCATACAGCTTTGGTCTTTGAGCGTCGTGTGGTTATCGAGTGGAGCCACGCGAAAGACGACAAATCGTGAATTACACTCGCATGTTTTTGAAACACCTCCTTTTCGAAACTTCTTTTTGGCCCACAAGAAAAGAGTCCTCCGTTGATCATGCTTGGGCAAAAAACGGCGCAGAAGTTGAGCAAATGCGGTATTTCAACAAGCGTTTTCCGGGTTTTGTCGCATTCCCCCCAACACGCGTTATCGGAATGGTTGTTTCATAGAGATTTGATACAGAGGAGGAATCTTAGACGCCAACTAATTGTCGATGAAGTGACATGCAAGCCTTCTATAGAAAAACCGCACCAGAACTGTCGAAGATAGCAGAATGACAATAACACTCCCTCACAATGTTCAAAGTTAAGTACCTGTCAGATTCTTCTTATCCTGCTCGTTCTGTTGCATAATTTCACCAGACTCAGAAGAAGTCAAGCATTGATGTTCACTTCCTGCCGCAGTGTCCGGGATGACTTCTCGTTCAGAAATATTCTTTTCTTGAACACTGCTGTTGCTTAGCATTCGCTCAGGGCTTTTGTCATCTGTTGTAGTGGCTTGAAGGGCCTCCATGTACCAACTTGCCTGAAATAAGGTTGTTAAAACTTAAAAGTTATTCCAGTTCCAGGTTAAGCCTCTATATATACCTCCGCTGGCAAGGTATCCAATACAATTATTGGTGCGCCACGTTTGAAGAGGTAGGCCAGATTCGCATGCTCGTTCCACTTGAAACAAATAAATTTGAACTGTTATTCTGTAGAAAAGAAGTAATTTGAATAACAGTATGTTCCAGCTTCAGTAAGAGCTAGCAGCATTAATTCATTAGCTCTGTCATTCAGCTTAATACTGTGGCTAGTCACCAACGTGACGTAAAACGACTTTACCTCCATGACTTCAGGAAGCGAAGGGACGACCCTGAAAGACAGATGTTCAGTAATTAGAGATTCAAATCTAAATCTCACAAGAGACAAAAGAGATTCAAATCTAAATCTCACAAGAGACGATGATGATAAAACTTACATAGCGCTAGGGTTCGTTGCGGAAGATATGTTGTCATTTGAGGGCCTTGATTTCTTCACTTCTTCCCGAATTTTCTTCGCCGGCGGTGGTAATTCTGTCAAATCGCATTGAACGCCAAAGTTGGCGAAACTGCTATTGGGGGTGGAAGATATCTGTGTTCGCTTATGAGGCAAAGGTGGCGGTTTCACCACCTCAGTTGCGTGTCGTTTAACTTGCTTCTCCTTTTCTAATTTCCGCGCATCTTTAGGTTTGACATTCGGATGGACATAGCTTGTTTTCAGACCATTCCAACTCTGTTCCGTAGAAAAATGTGAGTGAGAAACTCTCGATTGCTCTATACATTTCCTTTCTTCAGAAGTCTTTGATGTTGAAGAAGTATGAGCATCACGCAAAACTCCTGTTTCTTTATGACAAACTTCGGCATTCCTAG